GATGGGTTTACATAACCGATTTACGAATTGCTTTGCATGTTTCAGTGTCTTAATTTTGAAAACTGTTTTGAACGCAAATACCGTCGTGTCACTGATTCGGTGATATTATCGTTAACATTTGGCGAATTTTTAGCCTTTATGCGGTCGTCAATTAGCGCGCGTTTCAAATCGATTATGGGTTTCAGAGCAGAATACGGCATCAAGAAGTTGACTTTTTTCTTTGCTGCCGCCTTTACGTTGCTCGTTGTATGCCATTTCGCGTTTCGGTTGACACCAAATGATCCGGAAATTCCTGTTGTCTGGGAAGAATACAGAAAGAATGATGCAAAAAATTACCCGGGTCATAATCCTGGAAACGGTTCTTCTCTTAAAGAAGAAACCACTTCTCTCGCGATCGAAGTTTCGTCGAATTCTCAGGAGAAGGGTAAGTCAAGAAGATTAATAACTGCCGTGAATGCCTTCGGCCAGGAAGCGCAAGAAGACGATTCTTTGCAAACGACGAAGTGTTTTGAAATTCAGTAATTGTTTTAACCCAAGTATGCTTGCAGCGTTATGTATTAACAATGATGACGGGACCTAATGCATTCGATGTTGATCTTGGTGCGTAAAGGGTCACTGATGTAAAAAAGCTAAGAACGTTATGACATTGTTTTCTGTAGTTAGTTGTGCATGTCTATCAGCAGAACCATTCTGTTAGCGTTGCATAAATATGAAATCCCAGGTGGATGCCCATAATTCGCCGTGCGCGGCTCGTGCTCCTAACTGTAGAAACTAAAGCAATACATTGTTTGCCACGTTGACCCATATTTTAGACCAGCCTTTATCCTTGAAAGAAATAAAATTACGACCATAGTCAAGATTAGGAAAGCCTGTTCCATTTCGTCTCATCGTTTTATATCAATCTGTGATGATTTATGATTCATCGATTGGCCATGATTATCGCTGTTCTCAATGTCTGTTTTCCAACGCTAACGCATGTTTGCTTGCTGGTGCTTGTCAGTTTGGTGTGGTGACGAACAGATCTAATTCCGTACGAAGTAGATGCTATACTTGAAATTCCGCAGCTTAAGACTTAATTATTTGCTTCACTTCTAAGCATTAATAATTTTAAATCAAAGTTGGCTTGCTTTGCCCTAAAATTTGTCTAAATCTCTTGAAACGATTGTGTTCGTTGTAGCACTTCGTACAGAGTCAGCTGCGTTGAGCAAGGCGTTTCAGCTCCCACAAACGCTACCAAACAGTACGACTGAGATCGTTCATTCGGCCCTGTGTTGATCAGTTTCTGCTGGAGTTTATAGGTACAAGACACGAAGTATCTTTCGAATCGCCGTCGTTCAACGACCTGAACATCATGTTTGGTAATGTGTCGTTTATAAAAGGCAGCCGGGAGTCTTCAACGGCGATAATCATTCCGTACCGAAACAGGGAAAATCACCTTCGCACCTTTTTGTTCAACTTAGTGCCGTTTCTTGAAAAGCAGAATTGTTCATACGCATTTTACGTTGTGGAACAGGTAATTGTTTTTTGCAAGTGTGCTGCGATGCGACACTATCGATTTCCTTTTCCGGTGCCCAAGCAAATTTTCAACAAAGGCAAGTTGATGAACGTCGGCTATCTGTTTGCAAAAGCGTTACGCCATCATTCATGCTACATCTTCCACGACGTCGACTTGCTTCCAGAAGACATAAGGAATGTTTACGCTTGTGACCAAAACCCAAGACATCTTGCCGTTGCGGTTGACACCTTAAATTACAGGTAATTTTTATAGCATTTTCACCAGACATCTCTAGCAGTGACCTTTAAAACGACGCTGTAGTTTCCAGACCATGATAGCGTTGTTGGTGTCTTCTTAGGAACAAACTTTGACTTGCTTCCTTGCCTTTCACTGGATTGTTACTATGCCTCAGCACTGTTGCTTAATGCTTAGCTTTACACTATGAACTGAGGCATGGACAGTAACGCGATAAAACCACACATTGCCAGTCTGGATTGAACAGCAAATTAGTTTCAGTTCATACTGATAGCGAAGGATCAAAAAGCATTCAAAACGCATCTAGTCAATTGCAGCCATAGGTGCTGCCTCTTCGGCCATGTGATCACTGTTGCAGGTTTGGCGAGCAGTTACAGCCTTTACTACTGCAAAAGCTAACTGCACATGTCTGTTCGACGCGTTTAAGACTTGAACTGTTGAGAAATGGCATCAGAACACTGCAGTCCTGCTTAAAAATAAGAGGCAGATCCGGTGTAGGAGATGAATCTCATTGGCACTGCTGAAGTGGATGGACGAGCTGTCTTATGTCGTGAAGAAACACGCTTCAGTACAACAAGAGTAGCCCTCTTTGAACAGGTTACATATCTACTACAAAGTCTTAGCGCGCAAATGGCTAAAGCTCAATGCAGAGACGAAACGCAGATTGGATCGGTCAAGCCCATGGAAACAGATCCATCAACAGCCAACGAAGCTCCTGATTTCGTTCACTACTTCTACGTTCACGGGTTGTGCTGCTGCTCATCGTAGCCGGTGTCTATCCTACGGTCGATACAATCTTGACTGTTGACTTGAAAGTGAGGTGATTGGAAGGGAAGTGCTTACTAGACACATTTTTGAAAAACCTTTTCTGTTTTTTTGAAGAAAATTTATAGACTCATATACAACCAGCTTATGGGAGGAGTAACGGTATTCACGGACACTCAGTTCCAAGCGGTCAATGGTTTCGCCAACTATTACTGGGGATGGGGCGCAGAAGACGAAGACATATACTACAGGTATGAAGTTTTTCGTGCAGATTTACTTTCTGTAGTGCCCTAAGGTCGAACCATTCAATTAGTGGCAGTAAATCGACGAAGTTAACGAACATCTGTGATGATATTCAGTTAAACTGATAACTGTAAAACCAGGCATTGCTTATGCCTGAATTCTCATTAAGCGACCTTGCGTACAACTGCTGCTGATCTTTCGCGTGATTTGCTTGTTTCATTTCTTCATTACTTAATTTTCTTCACAACGAAACAAATGTGTGTCACGAAAATTAAATTAAACTCAGTATTAGAACCGTAACTGGGAAGTAACATCTGAACCCTAAAAGAGTATCGCAATACACAGACTGACTTGAGAATACGAAATAAAATTACAGAGTTGTCAATGTTAATGCGATCACCGCGCCTGAATGCCATTGCTTCGGTAACTTTCCTAAACTCCACACAACTTGACTGAGTCAATTAAAGAGCATCATAATGGTGCATTCATTCTTTAGCATCTCAAGACAGATTTCTTTTACTCAGAGCGATTTAATCGTGTCGTGTCACTTGTGTAGCTACTACTTTTTGTTCCAAAATGTACTTTACCATCATGCATGCAGTGAACCGGATCAGACAATGCATTGAGGAGTTCCTGAATGACAAGCAGTGTTTACGTAGGATATGCAGAGGATGTTTCGACAAGATGGTATCACTGAGCCAGGTAACAGAAACGTAGAAAGGAAGAGAGAATGGAGGTCAAAGTTCTTTGCAGTCTTAGTTGATTTCACAAAGCGTCTGATTCAATCTGGAGACGGATTGTGGAACGTTTGTGGACAGTGCGGAATCTGACCAGAGATTATGAATTTGGAATGATGGACGATCTGTCGTCAAGCCCAGTGCGAAATGATAGATGGTTCAGAAAGTTCTTTCTCACAAATTTCGGAATGGAAACTCCTCTGCTATTTGCGACGCTCTTTAATGAGTGTGCGAAGCAATAAAGCCACGGTGGCAAGTGTCGGCAATATCTCTGTAAATTCTCTTGCATTTGCGAATGATATCACACTGCTTACAGATAACTTCGAAACAGCAACATTACTCTTCCAAACTCTGAAACAGAAGTGTTTTGACCTGGATATTTCGATTAACTTAAGGAATACGAAATGGACAGTATAACTAACTAATATAACCCAGACCAAAGACTCTCTGACCACTGACACCGAAGTTTTAAAAAATGTAGCAGAACATCTGTATCTTGTGATTACACTGGCTACCGCCGGAAACGCTGCAAACGAAGTAAATAACAACAAAACAGAAACTCTTGAGGGACATTGACGTCGGCAGCAACACAAAGCGCGAACGTATAGTGCTTGCAATCAGAAAATCTTGCTCTATGGCTTGGAGATGTCAAACTTAAAAAAGCTGAAACAAAAAACTGGAAGCAATGAAGATGAAGATTTTCAGATCGATATTAGGAGTGAAGTGGCATGATTTGATGCCTATGTTGTTGTAAGAAAGAGATTAGAATATTCAACTAGAGTGACCGACTGCCTGTAAACAAACGTCAAAGAAAGTTGGACTATTGCCAATGAACGGATGATAGCTGCCTTGCAAACCGAGTCCTTAACGCAAAGCCTTTTGGGAGGCCACCTCCATGAGGACCTCCAGCAAGATGAAGGGATCTCGCAAGAACTGATGTTACATCGAAAGGACTGAAAAGTGAGTTCGTGTTTATACGATCAAGGTGGAATGCTTATACAGCACCCGGCGTCGTCGTCGATTCAAAGCGAGAAGAAAAATACAAACTGGATTCAGGCGATCGTATGCGTAACAACACCCAGCTTGGCAGCATTCATTTAACATAGGCGAACTTCTCCAACTCAATGTACGTTTCCATCATTTGTATACGGACAATCTGTCAGTTCAGCAATATTGCGGGCCACTTAACTACCAAGGTGATCAAAAATATAAACATCTCATTATTATTCATCATTAGTTACGAGTTGTTTTAATTTTTTTTCTCCTGTGACTACCATTCGGGTATCACTACGTTTACTTGTTAATTATTAATTGGTTTTTCATCGGTTGCTCGCAATGTATTCACTCTCATGGTTTCTAGTACTTGTGACTGAATCTTTATATTTCATTAAACCAAATAAAATTTTCCCGCAATTTGCTCAAGCGCTAGCATCAGTATTGTTCTTCAATATGAAATATTTATCAAACTTGAAGAAGATAGGCGTTTAAACTGATTTAATGCCATATTCGTGTTTCAGAGTCCTTTACGCCAACTATACGGTACAGAGGGATCCGGAAAAGATTAGTCGGTACAAGATGATTCGACACCATTCGCATCCTTTGTTCAAGGCAAACCCATGTCGACTTCGTTTGCTATCGCAGGTGCAAAAACTCTGGAAATTGGACGGACTGAACAACCTTGTCTACAAACTTATTGAAATCGAGGAAACCAGGTTTTATACAAAACTGATGGTAGACGCTTTACCGGACTTGTCGTTTGAACGTGGATGTTAACCAATGCTCGAAGTTCACCGCTACCGCAAACATAACAGATGGATCATCAGAAGTCGAATTCACCTACAAGGAAAACTGTTGCAATGACATCATATGTAAACGTTCTACAGGCTAAAGTTCAATCGAAACTAAATCGATGCTTAGTGTTTCTGTGTCGTACCGCCTTTCTTGGTTTACATAGATATATGTTCAACAGCGCACGCGGCTTGAGTTACATTTTGGGCATTGCTTTACTGTTTTCATTTTGAAAATACTATTATTATTCTAGAAGTATATTGTAGATTACGTTTGAACATAGATTAACGCCTGGGTGCAAAAAACCATGCGCAGATAAAGTTGAATCACAGATCGGTGGTAAAGCTGTAGTGACATGGACTATACTCTCTATTGTAAAGTAGTCTGAAGTTATCGAGTCAATCTTGAAACGATCAAAATTACGGTGGTAAGGACGTTCATCTCTTTCTCATCAAGCCTCCTTCGCTGCAGACCTATTAATTCTTGCGGCAGAGTTCCAGGATGGCAGTTTTCCGTTCCTCATTTATGGCTACAGTTTTAAGAGTTGTTTCAATTTCCTGTGATATCAAGTCGTTCATTCACAGTTTCATTAAATATGGAAACATGATGGCAAGGAACTTCCTTAATTATATAATTTAAGTGGAGCTGCGCTCAGTGAAAAACTAAAACTGATGCACTACGAATTGCAGAACAGTGTATGAAAACAGCCATTAGCTGCTGATACTTCAACAGCAATGATAGCACCCTAACGCTTACCTGACTTGAGGATATGCAGGTCGTATCGCCTATTGCTAACGTAATTGACACTTGCCTTGCATTCGTTCTCTGCCCTTGCATTTCGGCCATCCAAGGGCTGTTGTTTCAACTCCTGCCTGCAGAACTAGTCGTAGAACTCTTCTGAACATGCAAGGAATGTCATCTGCTATCAGCAAACTGCCAAGTCAATTAAATTAAGTCAGTGGAGTCTACCGAACTAAAACATCGCGGTTACACCTTGGTCTGATTATTACCACAAAACGTTCATAACGGTTGGTCAAGGCGAAATGCAGCAGCGGGGAGCGCTCGCATTGGATAGCATGACCTCACATGACATGACCTGACCAGACCAGAATTCACAAGTCACCGACTTACTACCTGATTCTTGGGTGGTTTTGCCGAAGCAACGTGGGATTATTTACTTGCTCGATAAAATTCACGGATAAGAACAGAGATGGTTCCCTCAGCAGATTCGAATCTGGAACGTAAAACTGGTGCCGAATACCATTTCAGCTATCTCCGGCTCACTGGTATGACAGTGTACATATAATGCACAAGAACAAACAATTTACGGAACAGTGAGACAGCGAATAGAAAATGATGAATAAATGCAGAAGGATAGATGGAAGCTTCATATGGATGAGCATCTAAATGTAGCGGTTATCGTGAGAGGATCGATTCGAACAGGTTTTACCTTACCTGTTTCGTATTGAACAGTCCTAACCTTTTGCGGAATTACAAACTTTCTGTATGCTTCAGTTCCGTAACAGATACAAACTTTGTGAAGTGAGATCCTGAAATGCACTTCAATATTGCCTTGTACAGGGGATGAAAAGGGTCGGTTTGAATAGAATTATCAAGCTCTAAAATAGATTTTACAATCTGATTTATTATAGTGTTCAGTACATCCATAAGGGACTACTGACCTGCTCAGCCGACAATTTTCAGAATTGATTGAGATGCGTAAGTCCTCCTGACGGAAGGAGAAGTATATTGACGAAGTTATATACTCTGACGAAGCATGCAGGTTTTTATAAATGGTTCCCTAATTCCCTTTGAGGTTTGTGATTAGGTCAGACATTTCAAAACATAGCGG